AGTGCTCTGGCTGGAGGATTTGTAGTTGTATTTCTGACGCCGACGTGTTTGAGGCTTCGGACATGCTAGACATGCTGCCTCATTGGTTCGGACCTTTTGTCTCACCATGCCGTTTTCTTGACGTTAACTTTGGCTAGCCGCGCCGGGCCGCGCCCTTAGCCTTGTCATGGCGAAAACTCGGGGAGCTGGCCAAGCGACCCCATGCAGACACGACAGACCCGTGACACTGCGGAGCAGAAGCGAATTGTGCATCCCATCTGTGGCTGCATTGTGCTGTACAAAGTATTGTCTAAAAAGTGTGTGCAAAGGAGAAATCGTCAGTGAAATTCCGTTTTTAAGCGCCCTCCCTTTGCGGATGCCTTGTTGATTTTAACTGAGTGATGTCCAAATTTGAACTCTCTTTAAGTGACTCCAAGCATTCAGCATGACCTTGAAGATTCAAGTTAGTTCAGATGAGCTGAAGGCTGGGTGGACTAAGGAACTTTCGGCATGACTTGATGGCCCAAATGAAGAGAATCCCAAGGTATATCGCATGTACCTGGGCCGAACACCCACACAGTCGGCGCAAGCTTGTTGGCCTCCAACCTACTAGCGATGTTCTGCAACCTAGTAGCGTCCTTGCTCCTAGTAGCGATGTCAGGAGTCCCTGGTAGCTTCTTGTTCCTAGCAGTAAGGCCAGGAGCTCCTAGTGGCGTCCTTGCTAGTTCACGGCTTTTGAACACATGGGGTGAACCTTCGACAGGCGCCCCCGTCGTGAGCCTCGCTACCAGCTTGTGCGCTCAAACTCCGGCGTCGGGGTTTCAGTTTGTGGCGTGTGACACTGCAGCGTTAGTCCTGTGGAGATGTGATGAGCAAAGCTGGTTTCCAATTTTCAAGATGGTGAGGAAACGGGGAATTGCCCAAGTGTCTGGAGGGCATGATTTGCATCATCTTTCTTGTCCCTTGATATATGCATTGCTGCATAGCCCCTTAACTCAAGACACACAGAAGCTTAAAGCGTAGCTCCTTGCGGCCCTTGCACAAATATATAGCAAATGTTTTTAACATCGGCAGGCCTCTTCGAATGCCCTACTCCTCTTTTGACTGCGCAACAAGCCATCGCTGGATCAACTGGATCGACTTCCCGTGTTGTGTTGCATCAACTTCGCTCCAAACTGCATTTGGATAGCGAAAAATTATCCAAAAAGTTGCTAGACTTGCGCAACTCTTTCCGTTTTGCACCTCCTTTTGCTTTTCAAACGTTCTAGACTTTGCGTTCGGATAGCGAAGTGGAGCAGTTTGACCGTTGAAGTCCGAATAAAAAATCGCTCTTGCGACCGTGCATGATCTGATTCTCGGGCTTCGACCATGTGCAACTGAGAAGCAGTTGGCCTTGAACCTCAAAGCATTTTTAGTTTCAACCATTTTTCAAACATTTTGCACGTTTTCAGCCATTTTTGGTCCTTCGTCTTCGGCCTGTCGAAGCAGGTGAAGGCCTGCCCATGTCACGATTCTGTACTGCTTGGCACGCCCAAGTGTCATTTTAACGATGTTTGTGACACCGGAATCTTACAAACATTTGTACTTGGAGCGGTGGAGTCATACCAAAAGTGTTTCCAGAGGCAATCGCAAACCCGGCGCCAACTTTTTGCGCCAAGCAGAAGATGTTTACCAAGCAGATGAACTTTGATTTGAGAATAGCAACATGTGGGGAGTTTTGGGGCAACGTTGCAGCTGAAGATGCTTTTCAGGCATGTCCAGTGCCTTTGTTATCCTAAGGTGCCAGCACGGCATGTCTGGTTGAATAACATCTCGAATGTTCTAATGACAGTGGTGCTTCGACCACTGGCGCGATGCCCAAAGCAAAAAGGTGCTGTCGGTACATTTCGTTGGCCGTCATTGTTGAGTGGTCTTTTGTCAAGCATGTCGAGAGATGAGAGAAACGTTACTAGTAGCGTCTTGTTACTACTATATAGTAAGGCACCTGTTACTACTAGCGTGGCACTTGTTCCTAGTAGCTTCTTGTTATGGAGTGGTCGTGGCTTGAAGAGGCTCTGGGAAGTTCCTTCACACTTTTACACATTTGAGGAGGTTCCTGTCGTCATTTGGTGCTCCTGATCCCTTTGATCCTGTTGAGGCTCATTGGGACAATGGTTGGAACAGCCCGAAATTGTCCTTGGTCTATCTACAGTGGAACTCAGTTTGAGCTTGAACTTGGACTTGCTTTTTTGGTTTTGAGGGATCACAACTCGATTTGCACCCTGGTCTATTTGAAGAACACTTTTGTGCCATGCAGAAATGATGGTCAGCCGGACCCATGACCCCGTGATTTTCTTGAATCTCCTTGTAGCGATGTCCTTTGCTCCTAGTAGCGATGCCAGGAGCCCCTAGTAGCTTCTTGTTCCTGGCAGTAAGGCCAGGAGCCCCTAGTAGCGTCCTTACTCCTAGGACGGAAGAAAACATAATTTCAACTTCAGCTGACTTCCTAAATTTTGACATGTTTGGTGTCGCCGCAGCGTCAACGCATCTGTGGGTCCGACCAAGAATCTCATCGAGCAGGGATGCGTGCCTAGGCAGCCTCGGTGGGTGATTTCCGGAATGAGAAGCCCTTCCAAGCGTTGCACACATTGCGGAAATTGTAGACTTTTATTCCTATTCAATAGCAATGCCTCCAACCTAATAGCAAACTACAGCAGACCTTTTCTTCCTTTTCTTTTTTCTTTGTTTCTAATAGCGATGGCCTCCACCCTAGTAGCGATGGCCTCCAATTCCAGAAATTCTAGACTTTTTACTTGTTCTTTTCTCTTTGTACTGTTCTTTGTATATTCTTTCCTTTTCACTTTGGACCTTCGGACTTTTCCTTTTTCCATGTGTTCTTTCCATATTTGTGTTACTCTTCCATTGAGGCAGCTTTGAGGCCCTTAAAGTGTGTTCTATTTTTCACTTGCATATATCAACGTAGTTGTATATATCAACATAGCGATGTGACATAGCGCTTTCGGTCGAGAGACGATCTGAGGTTTAACGTGTCCAACGATTTCCATCCTTCTCATCCTCACCAACTTCACCAAGGCTTGGCGCCGCGTGCCCACATTCTCTCCTTTTTTAGGTCGTAGAGGTAGTAGCTAGCTAGTAGAAGAGGTAGTAGCTTGGGAGTCGCTAGTAGCTCAAGTAGCTACTACATAGGATGCAGGATAGCTCGCACTTCCTTGAAGAAGCGCTCGCACTGATAATTTGGTTCCTAGAATTTTCGGAAACTTACCATTGGAACTTAACATTTCTCAACCTTTTCCTTTCGGCCCTACTAGGTTGGAGGCCATCGCTCTTAGGTTGGAGTCCATCGCTCTTAGGTTAGAGGCCATCGCTATGGCTATTAGGTTGGAGAACATCGCTGGGGTAGAGGCCATCGCTATTAGGTTAATTGGAGGCCATCGCTGTTAGGTTGGAGGCCTTTCACTACTACGTTAGAGGCCATCGCTAGTAGGGTAGAGGCCATCGCTGTTAGGTTGGAGGCCATCGCTAGTAGGGTAGAGGCCATCGCTATTAGGTTAATTGGAGGCCATCGCTGTTAGGTTGGAGGCCTTTCACTACTACGTTAGAGGCCATCGCTACTATAATAGAGGCCATCGCTATTAGGTTGGAGGCCATCGCTGTTAGGTCACTTGCGTTGTATTAGAGATTGTGCGAACAGCCCCATCAGCCTCACCATGCGCCCCCAAGGCCTGCCTGAGCCACAATGCGAGCGATGAAACTGCATCCTGTTGGCAACCTTTAAGGGGGGCTGTTCACCGCCTTGGTCGGATGCTTCAACATGCAAAAGGTATGGTGGTCATATTGGTATGGTTTGTCCACCAAAAGCAGAATGCAAACTGGTACCTTTACCATGTTGCAACCAGTTTTTTCCATGTTGCTGCACCGTCAATATCTATTTGAATGTACTTGAGCCCACATGGTCCATGGTGACCAGGTGCTTTGAACTTGTTTTCTTGAAGAACTTTCAGATTCTGTAAAGCAGCAGGCGGTTTTTTTTGCATGCTTGTATGTGTCCTAGAGCCTAAGGTCCTAGGTATTCCTCAGTGCCTTCAGTGCCTAAGGTGCTCTTGAAGGTCCTGGTTGGCTTCGGATTCAAAAAAAGTCTGGGATGCCTGGAGTCTTGGGTGCGCTGCAATGACCAGGGCCAGGCCGTCTTCTTGGATCTCACACGACGAGTTCGGAGACGGGATGACTTAGATGACGGCCAATTTGTGCACATTCCCAAGGAGTTGGGGGAACTGCAGGCGCTCGACATTGTTCCATGTTGAACAAATGGTGTTAATCAAAACCAAGAAGAACCCCCACCGGCTGGGCATCAAAATCTGCCAACTAGGCAATGGCACCATCGCACGTGCACCAACAAGTGCCCAAGTGCCCGGTCTTTGCCAGACAGTGCTGTCTTGAAAATTGCGAACCTTTTCAATGTGCCACGCGTGCATGCCAACACAGCAATACGTCGGCATAGCACATATCATGAAGGTGCAAGTACGACAATGCTACTAAAAGCAAAAACATGCTCCAGAACCCACCCTGACAACAAGTCAGTGTGACACTACGCAATCATATCAGCGTGACAACACGAATCATGTCAGGGTATCGGCATGGCAACACCTCAACGCCTCAGAGAACAGCATCAGGTCAAGGCCATCGCTACTAGCAACAAGACGCTATCAGAAGCTCCTGGCATTACTACTAGTAGGAAGGACGCTACTAGGGGTTCCTGGCCTTACTACTAGTAACAAGAAGCTACTAGTAACAAGTGCATCGCTTCTAGTAACAAGTGCCTTACTAGTAGTAACAAGAACGCTACTAGGGGCTCCTGGCATCGCTACTAGGAGGAAGGACGCTACTAGTAACAAGTGCAGCGCTTCTAGTAACAAGTGCCTTACTAGTAACAAGAACGCTACTAGGGGCTCCTGGCATCGCTACTAGGAGGAAGGACGCCACTAGTAGCAAGTGCATCGCTTCTAGTAACAAGTGCCTTACTAGTAACAAGAACACTACTAGGGGCTCCTGGCATCGCTACTAGGAGGAAGGACGCTACTAGTAACAAGTGCATCGCTTCTAGTAACAAGTGCCTTACTAGTAGTAACAAGAACGCTACTAGGGGC